TCATCGTATTAATATGGATTTACTTTATATACCTCATTTTTATACTTTTCTACTGGATGGTTAAGACCAAGATATAGCAAGACCTATATACCCAGAAATGTAACTTTTGTATCTGATAAGGTCAGCCAAGTACTCTCAGGATTTATCCTGTAGAAAGATTTTTTTTTTTTAATTTATAAAACAGGTGCATGACTTAACAAGATCTAAGAAGACATCAGAAAATGGAAAAGTATCTCCTGGGAACTAGAATTGTCAAAATGGCCATACATACAAAAATGATATATAGGAGCTGGATGTGGTGGCACATACCTGTAATCCCAGCACTTGGGAGGCTGAGGTAGGAGGACTGCCATGAATTCAGGGTCAGCTTGGGTTGTATAGTGAGTTCAAGATCAGCCTGTATTACATAGTGAGACCCTGTCTCAAAAATTTAAACTAAACTAAATTAAACTAAACTAAACTAAACTAAACTAAACTAAACTAAACTAAACTAAACTAAACTAAACTGATATACAGCTTCAAGTAATTCTGATCAAAATACGAAGAGCATTCCTCACAGAACTAGGGAAAACTGATAAGGAATTAGAAGAGACCTAGCATAGCAGAAGCAATTCTGGGCAACAAGAGCAAAGGAAGAGGCATCAAAACCCCAGACTTCAAGTTATACTGTAAAGCTACACTGATAAAACTGACAAGGTATTAGAGAAAAGAAAGAGGAATATTGATCAGTGGAACAGAATAGAGGATGCAGAAACACCCCCAGGCACGGTCAGCTACCCAATCTTTGACAAAGAGGACAAAAGCATATGCTGGAGGAAAAAGAGTCACTTTATTTATTTATTTATTTATTTATTTAATGTAATTTAGTGCAAGCTGACAGGGTCTCACTACACAGATCTGACTCATAGTGATCTTCCTGTTTTCAGCCTCCCAAGTGCTGGTATTACAGGCATGCGCCACCACACCCAGTGTCAGTTGCTGTTTCAGCGTGCTCTGGGGGTGGGGCCTGCATGGCACACCCACGATTGAACTCTGGTGCCTGCCTAAGCAGTTGCTTTAGTCTGCTGAACTATCTGAAGGGCCACAAGATAGCCACTTTTAACAAATGGTACTGGGAAAACTGGCTGCCCACATGCAGAAGACTGACTATAGACCAACAGGTCCCATCATGTACTCAATTAAAATCAGAATGGATCAGATATCTAAATGTTAAAACAGAAACAATGTATTGGAGGTAAAATAGGTAAAACTCTTTTTTTAAAATTTATTTATTTATTAACATTTATTTTGGGGTGTGTGTGTGTGAGTGTGGCCAGCTCAGCTCACCAGGGGGCGCAGCTGGCTGGCATGTGGTGCTGGGGGAATCGAACCGCGGTCCATGTGCTTTATCAAGCTTGTTCCAAGTAGGTGCCTTAGACCACTGAGCCATCTCTCCAGCCCCATAAGTTTTTTTTTTTTTCCTTCCTCGAATGCCTTCAGGGCACTTTTGGCCAGCGGGAGAGTTGTGAGGTTCGAACTCCAGGAACCTGAGGCTGACAGCTTTGTGGAAGCAGCCACTGAAAGGACTGAGCTAGGGCCAGGCCCCCTAAAACTTCGAACTCCAGGAACCTGAGGCTGACAGCTTTGTGGAAGCAGCCACTGAAAGGACTGAGCTAGGGCCAGGCCCCCTAAAACTCTTGAAGACATAAGCATAGGCAAGGATTTTTTGAACAGAATCTTGGTTGCACTGGAAATAATACTAAAAATAAATAAATGAGATTACATAAAACTAAAAAAGCTTCTCCACATAAAAAAGAATGACCAACAGATGGGAAAACATTTTTGCCAGCTATTTCTTGGACAGAGGACTAACATCTAGAATACATAAAGAACTTAAAAAAATTAGACCCCCCCAAATGAAAGACCTGATCAAAAAAATGGGCAACTGAAGTGAAATACATGAAAAAAAACGTTCAATATTTCTGCCCATTAAAAACAGGCAAATTAAAATGACCCTGAGATTCTGTCTTACTGAAGAAATAATTTCTATCATTAAGAAATCAAATAATAGTGGCATAAGCACCTGCCTGGCAAGCACAAGGTCCTGAGTTTGATTCCCAGTACTGCAATAAACGAACAAACAAACAAACAAACAAATAAATAAAATAATAACAAATGCTGGAGGGGCTGTAAAGAAAAAGGAGTCCTTATATATTGTTGGTGGGAATGTAGTCTAGTACAGCCATTAAAGAAATCAGTATAGAGGCTCCTTAAAAAACTAAAACTAGTTTTGACCCAGCTATTCCCCTTCTAGATACAATATCGTCAAGTCTTATTTGCATACCCATGCTTGAAGCAGCACAATTCACAATAACTAAATCTTAGAAGTGGGCTATATGTCCATCAATAGATGAATAGATAAAAAATTTGTGATATTTATACAGGATTGTTTGCGCCTGGGACTGAAAGCAAGTAGCTATGGCTTCACTTCAGGGATGCCAGTGTTATGTTCCCACAGTGTCTGGGTGAAATACAACTACAGGAGACTGGTTAGAAAACAGGCTGGAAAGAGACCCACTGAAGGGTTTGAGCTAAAGTACACAGGCTTCCCTTCCATGGCCAGAGGACAGGCCCAGCCAGAGTTGCTCTGGATTTGAAAGTCAGGGCACTGGTCCCCCTCACCCTGCTCCTACTGCCTGCTGGTGGCTGCATCCAGCACAGACCCAGGGCCTGACTGCCTTCTTTATTAACCAGCATATCCTGACTTGGATACTGCCCCCAGATTGTAGAACCTGGAAGAAATACACATACAAAATCACAAGGAATTTTTCTTCTTCTTTTCTTAATGCATGTTGAATATTCTTTGATTTTTTTTCCTTCTTTCTTTTCCTGTTTGTTCTTCACCAGTTTATTGAAGTTTGGGGAATTTTTCTTTGTCTCTTTTATTTTGCTTATCTTTTTTTAAAAAACTTTTTTTCCTTCACTTCACTTTTAATTTTTCTCTTATTTTTTCCTCTTATTTTTCTTTCCCATATAACTTCTTCCTCCCTTTTTCTTTTATCATTTATTTATTTATTTATTTATTTATTTATTTTTTCTGTTACAGTTACAGAAGATTGAACCTAGACCTATAGCCCTCATCATGCACTAAAATAAAATAAAAATGGACCAAAGATCAAATAAAGTAAAAAGGTTAATTTATGGAAGACAAAATAGTAAAA